AGACCAAGTCCAGGTCTCATGAGGTCTAGTGGAAAGGTTGGATGAAAAACCAAAAAAAAGAAATATTTAATATCAAGTCAGATGGTGATGCCTGCAACACAAATATATACAAAATAATGCAGCAGCAAGTGACCCCAAAGGATGTGTTACTTCAGATACAAATGGTGGGTGGATGCTTTTCAAAGATGGGGGAAGAAAGCACGATGCATGGGCACTGGGGAAGCAGAGTATGCCCAGAGAACACAGTTGGTGCAAAAGCCCAAAGCTGGAGAAAGCTTCCTGGATGCTAAAACAGCCAGAATTGGGATTCTTGACAAATAATAAAAATATTGACCACCTCCAACTGCAGGCTGTCCGAACCCTAAGACCTGTTATTATGGTTATAACTTCATACTATAAACATTAAATGTGATTATGTAAAAGTAGAAATAACTGAAATGTTACGTGAAAGTTTGATATATAAAATATAAAAACTATGTAATCATACAATAGATACTATATATTATATAAAATGGGAACATTTTATTGTAGTAAGGTATAATAATAAATATTAGAATATGCTATAACATACTGTAAACACAATATATACTGTATAATGATATGCACACATAAAATTAAAATACATAAATCTATATTTTTATAATCTAATATCTAATAATTTTTCAAATGTCATTTAAATTATCACATAGTAAAATAAAACAGTACTTCTGAGATTCATCTATGTTGCAGCCAGTGTCAGTAAATGACTTCTTTTCACGTTGGGGTAGTATTCAATTGTATAGATGTTTGATTAATCACCCACTGTTACATTTGGGTTGTTTACTAATTTTGGCAATTATACAGTTGCTGTGAAATTTGAGTACACACGTTTTTATATAAACAATTTTTCATTTATCTAGGGCAAATACCTAGGAGCGGGACTGGTGGGTCATACGATAAGTGTATGTTTAACAGTATAAGCAATTGCCAAGGCCAGGCATGGTGGCTCACGCCTGTAATCCCAGCATGTTGGGAGGCTGAGGCAGGCAGATCACCTGAGACCGGGAGTTCCAGACCAGCCTGACCAACATGGAGAAACCCCTAACTAAACCTCTATTTAAAAAATACAAAATTAGCCGGGCGTGGTGGCACATGCCTGTAATCCCAGCTACTTGGGCGGCTGATGCAGGAGAATCATTTGAACCTGGGAGATGGAGGTTGTGGGGAGCCAAGACCACACCATTGCACTTCAGCCTGTGCAACAAGAGCAAAACTTCATCTCAAAAAAAAAAAAAGCTGCCAAACTTTTTGCCCAAAGTGAATGTAACATTTTACATTTCTACCAACAATGCAGGAAATTTTCCATTGCTCTGCATTGTTACCAACTCAGTATTATGTCTTTATTGTTAGGCATGCTAAAAGATGTATACAGGTATCCCATGTGGTTTTCATTTTCATTTTCTTGATAATTAAAGATGTCAATCATCTTTTCATCACCTTGTTTCCCATTTCTATCTCATATAACAATATGGATGGATCTCAAATACATCACATTAAATGAAACAAGTCAAACTCGAAAGGAGAGATACATATACATATATACACAGAGACACACACAGGATGTCTCCATTTATACAACATGTGGAAAAGGCAAAATGATACAGACAGAAAATGGGCTTGTGATCAAGGGCTGGGGGTGGGGAAAGGGATGGACTAAAAAGTAATAGGAGGAAATGTAGGGAAGTGAGGGAACTCTTCTCTGTCTTGATTGTGGTATTGACTGCATGATGTAATTGTCAAAACTTTGAAAATTCTACACTGGGTGAATATTACTGTATGTAAATTATACCTCAATAAATATGACCTTAAAATATTACAGTCATGTTCACACAAAAACCTGCACACAGGTGTTTATAGCATCTTTATTCATAATCAACAAAACTTGGAAGCAACTAAAATGTCCTTCAGTAGGTGAATGGACAAATAAATCATGGTACATCCAGACAATAGCATATTATTCAATGCAAAAAAAAAAAAAAAAAAAAAGACTAGCAAGCCACGAAAAGACATGGAAGCAACTTAAATCCACATTACTACGTGAAACAAGTCCATCTGAAAAGGCTGCATACTGTATGGTTCAGAGGCTAAATTATGGAGACAAAAGAAAATAGGCAGGGGTGTAGGGGTGTAGGCAAAACACAGGATTATTGGGACAGTAAAACTGCTCTTTATCCTTCTATCATAATGCATACATGTCATTATTCATCTGTCTCAACCCACAGAATGCACATCAAGACTGAACCCTAATTAAACCATGGACTTTGGCCGGTAGCGTCAATGTGGTTTCATTAATTGTAACAAAAGTACCACTCTGAAGGCGGATGCTGATGATGGGGGAGGCTGTGTATACGTGAGGGTAGGGGATATGTGGGAAATCTCTACCTTCTGCCCCGTTTTGCTGTGAACCTAAAACTTCTCTAAAAACTAGTCTTTTATATAAATGGGTATATAAACACATATATATGTCAGTACTAAAATATTACATTACAATAAAGGACAAATAATTGAAAGTCATGTACAGCGAAATGTGTTTTCCTCCATATTTCCTGGAATTCATGAGGAGTGATACACTTAGGAGTAAGGTAAAATGGGAATAATGAAGGGGACCAGACTTGGTTCTAGGGTACGTTAAGAAGGAAGAGGTGATCTCCAGGGACCCTCCTGAGGGTCAGCAGACATTGTCCTAAGTTGGGGATCATAGTGTATCACAAAATATCCAGAATTGCAGGAAGAATAGTGAAGCTTCAGACACAGTGCTGGATGAGGTGAAGGGAGGTAATGGGTCAGCAGACATTGGTCTAAGATGTTGAGCAGCGTGTAATGGGCCATCAGATACTGTGAAGAAGTGAGGAAGCAGAGCTAATGATGGCTCAGTAGACATTGATCTAAGGTGAGGTAATGGGATGTGTCACCAAGCACTGCCCAACTAGGGCTTGGGAATTAAAGGGGCATTATGGCCCTGCCCTTTTGACTATGTTCTATCCTTTGGGCCCCATCTTCACCTCCCCATACTGCCCTTCCTAAAGGTGAAACCATCTCTGCAGAGCCCAAATATTTCCCACTCCCAGAATTGCCAATAGACTGACCCCAGACAAACCATTCTGCAAGTTCCAGAGGGGCCACCCAGCAACTGCGCATCCAATCAGATCATCTGCCAGCATCTGTAAGGTCACTGCCGCCTATCTAGGGCAAGATACCTAATATCCAATGAAGATCCACCCATGTCTGTTCTAGTTCCCTGCTACTGGGCACTCCTCTCGGTGCAGGATGAGCAGGTGTGCGGGTTGGGTTCTGCAGTAAGTGGGGCTCTGTCGAGTTGCAACTGAGACGGGGCAGAGCTGTGCATGCTGAGGAAGAATGAGCAGGGAGTCTTTTGCAATCACGTTGGAGCTGTGGGATTCTGGAATCATGGCAGGGAATCTTAGAAGCAAGCATTCACATGGGATCTCCTGTACCTGTTTTCCCTTCTTTAGCATCAGACCAAAAGTTTTACAGTGACTTTTTAGCTTTAGGGTTGAGAAGGGATACAGCCTAGTTACAGACTGGAGGTGAAAAAGCCTGGTGTGTTTTAGGCAAGTTGATTCTCCCTGTTAGTGCTTCTTATGCTGCAACACAGAAAAAATCAGACAGAAGTCACGCAGGAAGCACAGGTCAACTCTCCACAGGGGCATTTATGGAATGCCTGCTGTATGGCAGTCATGAGTCTAGACTCATAGTGGTGAACAAAAGGGAAATATTTTCTAGCATAGAAGCCACAGAGAAATGAGCAAAATATACCAGGCAGTATGGTGGAAAGTGCTAGGGAGAAGAATAAAGGAGGAAGGGTAAGGGGCTGGAAATTTAAATCAGGCAGGCAGGCAAGGCCTATGAGGAGGTGTCATGGAAAAAAAGACATGAGGGACAAGCCACAGATAAAATAAAGAACTGTGCTCTTTGCAACGGGCACTGCAAATACAAAGGCCCTCAGTCAGGAACTGATGTTTGAGGCACATGGCGGGGAAGGTCCTTGTGGGGTGCATGGGACGAACATGGACACAAGTAGACAGTGAACATATGGTGGGGTTAGTTTTCATGAGTTATCGATTTCATACGATTTATGATTTATCTCATATCTCATATAATGTAAGATTGATTTCATGAGTTATCAACTTATGAAAGTCACATCATTATGGAAAGTAAAATGCTGGGCTTCAACTCAGCGACAAATAAATTTAAAAAAAAAAAAAGAGGCAGGCAACTCAGTGGGAAGAATTGTAATACCAGAAAGAAGAATTTAAGTTGTCCCAGATGACCTGAAAATTCTAACCTCAGAGGCTTTCTTGAGGGTGGCGGGAGTGTACAAAACACTGTGCTGGGCCGGGCGCGGTGGCTCACGTCTGTAATCCCAGCACTTTGGGAGGCCAAAGCAGGTGGATCATGAGGTCAGGAGTTCGAGATCAGCCCGGCCAGCATGGTGAAACCCCCGTCTCTACTAAAAATACAAAAGTTAGCTGGGCGTGGTGGCACATGCAATCCCAGCTACTCCGGAGGCTGAAGCAGGAGAACTGCTTGAGCCCGGGAGACAGAGGTTGCAGTGAGCCAAGATAGTGCCACTGCACTCCAGCTTGCCAACAGGGTGAGACTCTGTCTCAAAAAAAAAAAAAAGAAAAAGAAAGAAAGAGAAAAAACACTGTGCTGGGTATCAAACACAATGTGCTGAGGACCTGTGGGGCTCAGAGACAGTCCTGGCAGATAATGAAGGGGTCTGCAAGTCTTTTTCTATGACAATGGGGACTCAACATACACTCTGAGGTCTGTGTCTGAATACATAGGGAGTTTGTCTTATTGCAGTATCTCTTGCTTGACAGAAATACTCAGTGGGGAACTGGATATGCACAACTGTGTTGGATTCAAAAGAAGAATGAGAAAATACCCACAATCCTGCTAGACAGTGTGTTCTGGAACAAACAACTTACAGAGGATTCATCACTATCATATATATTGTCTTACCATTCAAACTCTTGGCACTATACCTAATCCACAGTAAATAGGATTATCATTCCCATAATATGATCTTTCTTATGAAGAATTTGGTAACAGTGTTCTATTGTCGTTTTCATGAGGCTTTTCCTATTCACCACAGTGACTCGGTTCCTTGTCAGTATGAATAATGCCCCAAGGTTTACTGGGGATAGTGACAATGTAGGAAGGGTCCCTCGCCTCATTCAGTGCCTTCTCAGGGGCCCTCTCCAGAACAGCCATGTGTGACATTCTGATGTGGCTGTTTCTATTTACAATAATATACATATTTTTCTGCTGCATGCATGCAACAGTGTACAATCAGACCCAACCCTCAGTGGGGTTTTCTCACACTGTTTCTCTCAAGTGTGGCTGCTCTGATGGACACTGAACACTGATTTCTGAACGAAGCCTTTCCCACAGATGCCACACTTGTAGGGTTTGTCTCCAGTGTGTGTTGTCTGATGTTTATTCAAATTTGACCTGTTGCTGAAGGCCTTCCCACACTCAGCACACACGTAAGGCTTCTCTCCAGTGTGAATTCGTTGATGCACTTGGAGCTGTGATTTTTTAGTGAAAGACTTCCCACAGTCACTGCACTCATATGGTTTCTCTCCAGTATGAATTCTATGATGTGTAATCAACTCTGACTTCTGTCGAAAGGTCTTCCCACATTCAGAACAGATGTAGGGCTTTTCTCCCGTATGAGTTTTCTGGTGCTTACTGAGATTTGACCTGCCACTAAAGGCCTTCCCACACTCGGCACACACATAGGGTTTCTCTCCTGTGTGAATTGGCTGATGCACCAGGAGCTGAGACTTGGAGGTAAAGGACTTCCCACAGTCACTGCATTCATAAGGCTTCTCTCCAGTATGAATTCTTTGATGAGTAATAAAGTTTGACTTGCGGATGAAAGCTCTTCCACACTCGGTGCATACATAGGGTTTCTCTCCTGTATGAATTTTCTGATGAACAATGAGTATTGATTTCTGGTTGAAGGCTTTCCCACATTCGTGGCATTCATACTGTCTCTCTCCAGTATGAATTTTCTGGTGTATATTGAGGTGTGACTTCTGAGTGAAGGCTTTTCCACAAGTACTGCATTCATAAGGCTTCTCCCCAGTATGGATTCTCTGATGTGTAATCAAGTCTGACCGCTGGGTGAAGGCCTTTCCACATTTGGAACATATATAAGATTTCTCTCCTGTGTGAGTTTTCTGATGTGTAATGAGATTTGACCGGTTGGTGAATGCCTTCCCACATTTATTGCATACATAGGGTTTTTCTCCTGTGTGAATTCGTTTATGAACATGGAGTTGTGACTTGGAAGTAAACAATTTCCCACAGTGACCACATTTATAAGGTTTCTCTCCAGTATGAATTATTTGATGTGTAACCAAGTGTGACTTCCGGATGAAGGCCAGTCCACATTTCATGCATACATATGATTTTTCTCCTGTATGAATTCTCTGATGCACTGTGAGTGTTGACTTCTGAGTGAAGGCTTTTCCACAGTCACTGCATTCATACGGTTTCTCTCCAGTGTGAATTCTCTGATGAATAATCAACTCTGACCTGTAGGTAAAGGCCTTCCCACACTCAGTACATATGGAAGATTTCTCTCTACTTTGAACTTTTTCATGTGTAATGAGGTTGGAATTATTGCTGAAGACCTTCCCATATTCGGTACATATATAGGGCTTCACTCTCGTGTGAACGCGTTGATGTACCTGAAGTTGTGACTTGGAAATGAAGGATTTGCCACAGTTACTGCACTCATATGGTTTTTCACCAGTATGAATTCTTCGGTGTGCAATCAATTGTGTTTTCTGGATGAAGGCCTGTCCGCATACAATACAGATATAGGATCTCTCGCCTGTGTGGATTTTCTGATGCATCTTGAGTGTGGACTTTTGTGTGAATGCTTTGCCACAGTCAGTGCATTCATGGTGTCTCTCTCCAGTATGAATTTTCTCATGTATACTGAGATCTGAGTTATAAGGGAAGCCTTTCCCACATTCACTACATTCATGTAGTTTTTCTCCGGTATGAATTCTCTGATGCCTGAAAAGAGACGATACTTGAAAAAAGGATTTTCCACATTCATTGCACTTATAGGGCTTCTCTCTCATATGGGTTTTCTGATGTGTACTGAATTCTGGCTTCTGTACAAAAGCCCTCCCGCATTCAATACATACATAGAGTGTTTCTCCTGTAGGAACTTTCAGATGTACCTTGAACTGTGAGTTCCACGTGAAGCCCTTTCCAAATTCGGCGCATCCATAGGATTTTTCCCTAGGATAAATTTTTTGATCTTGAGAGAAGGCTGGTTTATAACCAATGATTTTTCTATGTTGATTATGGTCCCATAATTTCTCTCCTGTTGGAGTACATTCACAGTAAGTATAGAAAGACATTTTACCATATTTAGTACTCTTCTTAACATTCTTAGAAGCATCATTTCTATAATGAATGTGTAAATCTAAATTATGCTTCAAGCCATTTCCAAATGAGTCACATTGATAGGGTTTTTACGGGGATGTAATATGTTTGGATTCACACGAATTGTTCTTCTGATAGCCTTATATTCATAATGCCTATTTGTAGTCAATATTTTCTTGATTAAAGCAACATCACTTAGATATTTCTTTTCTTTTTTTTTTTGAGACGGAGTCTCGCTGTGTCGCCCAGGCTGGAGTGCAGTGGCCCGATCTCCACTCACTACAAGCTCCGCCTCCTGGGTTCACGCCATTCTCCTGCCTCAGCCTCCCATGTAGCTGGGACTACAGGTGCCCACCACCGCGCCTGGCTAATTTTTTGTATTTTTAGTAGAGACGGGATTTCACGGTGTTAGCCATGATGGTCTCAATCTCCTGACCTCATGATCCGCCCGTCTTGGCCTCCTAAAGTGCTGGGATTACAGGTGTGAGCCACCGCGCCCGGCCTAGATATTTATTTTCTGATAATACTGTATCCGGTTATCAATCTGTCACAGTTATTCTAGAATGAAATACAATCTCACATCATCTCTGTCATCATCTTCCCTTGCATTGTGGAAAGAAATCTTTTTTTTTCCAGAGATTCCCTGGAAAAAAGGTTTGGAATCCAAATGCCCCTTTTCAAGGGATAGTAAGTCACTTTTTGCTCATAGAGCAGGTAGCAGAGGCTAGAGGGGAAGGTAAAAATGGCTCATCCAGATTGAACACAGAGAAAAGGGTAAGCGTGGGTAATTGGATGAGGAGGGTGACACTACTTATGGTGAAACATTCTGGGGAACAATTCAGCAGTTAAAAGAAATAAACTAGATGAACAGATAACACCATGAATAGACATGGAAAAAGTAAGGCAAAAAACATGATATATAGCATAATAAGATTTATATAAACTAATGATCCATACCCCTAATTCACTTTAAATTTTACAACATGCACGAATTAAAAAATGCTTCCATTATACAAAACAGTGGCTTCTGGTGGGAAGGGAGATGGGTGAGGGGAAAGAGAGAATAGGAGATTTTATCATAAAAATAAGAGAGAATCTTTACCCACATTCATGGTCATAGTGTGTCCTAAACTAAAGACAATGATTAAACTCAGACCTCATCGGGTGAAATATAAAAATAAAGCATGACAAAAACAAATAAGCCCGGGCACGGTGGATCACGCCTGTAATCCCAGCACTTTGGGAGGCTGAGGTGGGCAGATCACCTGAGGTTGGGAGTTCGAGACCAGCCTGACCAACACAGAGAAACCCTGTCTCTACTAAAAATACAATGTTAGCTGGGCATGGTGGCTCATACCTATAATCCCAGCTACTCGGGAGGCTGAGGCAGGAGAATCACTTGAACCCGGGAGGCAGAGGTCGCGGTGAGCTGAGATCACGCCATTGCACTCTAGTCTGGGCAACAAGACTGAAATTCCGTCTCAAAAATAAATACATAAAAATAAAAATACAAAAATTAGCCAGGCATGGTGGCACGCAACTGTAATCCCAGCTACTTGGGAGGCTGAGGCAAGAGAATCATTTGAACCTGGGAGGTGGAGGTTGCAGTGAGCCAAGATTGC